TCCACCTGTAGCACTCGCTGTCCTCCGCCAGGGTGATGCCGATAGGTATCATACCGGCGATAACGCATACTGCTTCCGACGAGATGGTTCTGTACGCACTAACGACTTACATGGCCATGAGCCGGAATGTACTACTCGGTTTCCTTTGGTTCTGCTTCGTTTCCAGCTCTGCTACCCAGGCTGGACCTCCATACCTCAGTATAAACGTTAATATAAAAAGTAAACTTTATAAAATCTTTGTATGCAACAACTGGGGCCTCTCTTAGCTCAGTCGGTGAAGGCTCAGCTACAAAGCCCAATATGGTGGCTGGGTTCGATCCCCGGTCCGGTCTAGGAATTTTTCGGGTTGGAAAATATCTCGACATGCCTGGGCATAGAAGCATGCTTGGACTTGCCACACAATTATACCAATGAAAATAATGGTACAGGCATCGAAAGCTCTCAATTAATAACTGTGGAACTGCATCTAGGACACTAAGAGCAACCGTACCAGTCGTTGCCATTTGCGGCACTATTTTACTTACGCACAGCGTTTCCATTTGGCTTAATCACTCCTCTCCACACCGGTCGTTGCTATCAGAGTCATAATTTAAGTTACCGTTTTCGACACCGGCAAAACAAACTTTTGACGTTTATTCAAAATAGCAACCGGCTGATGCGTTGCTACCGGGTTGCTAAATTTATGAACTCACTACTTCCCAAGGTGCGGATTGCTATTTCTCCCACCTGAATAGCAACCTCCGGTACGCAAGTAGCGTTATGATAGAGGTTGGTAAATGTGCCTTATTTACTCATTGGTACGGTTGCTCTAAGTTGAGAGCACGCAATAAGCTAATATGCGATACGCAGTAAGCTTGAAATGCGAAGAAGAAGAAGAAGTATGCAACAAACTAACAACATAAGTCTTCACCGGGGTGATTATCCCCGGTGAAGCAAAAGAACTCTCTACGGTGCTCCCTAGTGATCACTCATCCGCTCCGGTGTGTTGGACTGTTGGAGGTGCGAACGTCAGAAACTGTATTTGTTTGCGAAGTGGGAGAAGCGGTAGAAAGTGAAAACAAAATAAAGATCTTTCGGGTGAATTTGCTTTTGTCATAGTGCGAGGTGTCTTTTCAACTCATCACCCTGCTTACACTGGGGAGAATGGCATCCCTGATTTGCAGGAATTTTTCAGAAAGTTTCACAGTGTTAGAAACATGTGAGATCTTCAAAAAAGTTGGTTAAATGTCAGAAAAGTAACTCAATTCAAATACAAAAGTACAAGATTTTGCAGAACTCCATGAAAGTTGGAAATAAATAGATCTGAAGAACTTCAGAGAAAATTGTAGACCTTATGAGAAGTCTGTAGAACGTCAGAAAGCTCGTAAGTTTTTAGAAAAACTTGCAAAACTTCAGCAAAACTCACAGAACTTCGGGAAAGTTCGATGATTTTAGATAATTTCGCTAATCTTCGGATAAATTTTTAAAACTTCAGCGAAGTTCAAATAATAATTTGTAGAGCTTTGGGAAAATTTCAAAGAATTTTTGATTAATCTGGAGAACTTTATAGAAATCCAAGAATCCACAAAGAAATTTACAGAACTTTAGAGAAGTTCGGAGATGTACTGAGAAATTTTTTGAACTTAAGGGTAGTTCGTAGACCTTTAGAGCAGAAATACAGTACTTCAGAAACATTACAGAATTTGTTAGAAATTTTAGGAACTTCAGAGAAGTTCAGAGGGTAGATCGTAAAGCTACTGAAAAATCTACAGATGTTTAAATAAATTTTCAGAATTTTATTGTGGTTCTTGGATTTTAAGATAAATTAACAGAAATTCTTGTAAGTTCCCTGATCTTTAGAGATATTCGCACAGGTTCAGAAAAATTAGTAAAACTTCAGAAATTTCCTAAAACTTCTGAAAAACTCAAAATTTATCGATAATATTTTAATTTTTAGGAAATTGTGTAGATGTCCATAGCTATTTGCAGATATTCATTGAATCATCTACACCTATATCTACAGAAAAAAATTACAGAACTTTCGAGAAGGTGGTAGATTATTAGAAATTTTGTGAACATCAGAGATAATTGTTGATCTTTGAGGATCTTAAATCTGCAGGGATTCAGGAACTTTGTAGAATTTTAGGAGAATTTGCAGAACTTCAGAAGAATACATAGAACTTCAAAGAAATCTGTACAACTACTGAGAATGATCTTCAGAAAAGTTTGTTGATCATTAAAGCTGGGTTTGGATAGGGTAAGTCAAAGGATCAACTCAGTTGAATTCAATTGGCTTGAAAAGTTGAGCCTGGTTCAATTGACCACTTTGTCAAGCAGTTTTAGCGTTACTTTCTACCAGTGATTTCACAAAACTGGACCAACTAATTTCTATTTTTTTATGAAGCGCACAAATGTTGGCTACTTTTCTCGTGGTTCTAGAAGAAAAAATCTCAAAATAATGTTTTATTTCAAAGTTTGAGTGGTAGTAAACGTCATTTAAACTGCTCGAATGAAGTGGTTAATTCAAGTGAGTTGATCAAGTAACTTGAATGGCATGGTTTACACGTTCAATTCACGTTCAAGTCAGTTGAATTCAACTGACTTGATCAACTGGCTTGCCCTGTCTAAACCCAGCTTAAAGATATTTTATCAGAGAACAGAAACAAAACTCCAGGGACGTCCGAAGGTCTTCAACCAAACATGCAGCATTGAGTTCTTAGCAGAAATTTTCAGAACTCATGGAATCTTCGTAGATCTATAGAGAACTTTTATCACTAGCTAGTCGAAAGCTGGTATCGACATCCTGGCGAAGTTTTGAAATCTTTTTTCGTTTTCATATCACAGTTCTTGAAGGACAAGATGAGCCAGATCCCTGCCGGTGTTCCTCCTGAGCAACCATTTCCTACTCCACAAAGTTCACCTTCTCCTTCTCATTTTATTTAAAATAATAAAAGCAAATATGCTTACAAATATGACAGCCACCTCCCCCCCCCCCCCTCCCCTTGGTTTTGTTTTGAAATCTAAATTGACAGTTCTTTCGACATGGGCAAGCAGTATGAACACCAGCAAACAGGGGTGTTCGACAAAGTGTGTCGAAAGTATATTCGAGCAGATTTTTCATTATGGCAGCGGTCAAAATCCAAGGGGGGAGGGGGGAGAGGTGACTGTCAAATACGAACAATCGTCGCCTGCCTCGCATAACTGGTTCCAAACGTAAACAAGCCATAAGAAACCTACAGGGTAGAATGATCAGTAGGCTGATTTGTCAGCACGTCCCACCCCAGTCAAAATCAGACCAAGAAATTAGATAGTCTAAACGGACCTTTACACGAAAATGATATTACTCGAAATGAAGCGCTTCTGCGGAGAGTTCATTTTCTTTTCTTTGTTTCGCATATGCAGAAGCCTGGTTTTTGGCACGAGGAAAGCAATCATGGCTACTATGTGACACTGGCAAATACAGTACACAGTAGGCCAGGAATGAAATCTAGCACGAAACAATTAATAACGGTCCGGGATTGCATCCAATTGAGTTGACGGCCTCAGCAAAGTTTCTTGACTTAGTTAGGACTATAGTTGGGTGGATAAAAATAGTTCAAGTTTTTGCTGCAAAGATGGCGCAGCGATATCACCTTTTTTTTTACTTCGCACGCTAGAGGTTTGCTGCCTTAGAGTTATAGAACGTAACATTTTATGAAAAGTTGCTCAAAGCATAAAAGCTGTACATCTTCAAGCAACAGAGACATACGATGTTTTGTAAAATTTGACTGAAATTCTCGTTTTAAGTTTTAAGTTTTATAAATTCATTCAAATTAATTCTTTTATACTTTTTTGTCGATCGTTATTGGTTTAGTCAATCCTTTTTGAAAAATTAATTTATTTTTAGAGTGTCTTAAAATAAATATCACATGAAATAAAAAAAAAACATGATTTTCTGAATGATTTTTCTCATAAAAAAAACACAAGTGAACGCAAGATGCTATTTGTTATTTAAAATAAATATCAAAGACACTTTCATTCTTCAAAATATCTCAGGGGTATATTGAGATATATTTGATATATTTGGTTTTAAATCAAACAATATATTTTATTTAAACAATCATATTGTTCTATTATGATCATAAGGGTGGGTCAAGTCTATATGACGGATCACCACCATTTTTTCGATGCCTATTGAGGTCATAAACAAGTGTGGCAAATTTTAACAAATTTGGTTGCCATCTGGAACTGCGGGATAACTTTAAAATTAGTTCTCTAAAACTTAAAGTATTTTTTTCTGGAAAAGATTGGCTGGACCAAAACCGATAGACGAAAAATTATAAAAGTATTAATGTGAACGAATTTATAAAACTTAATACTGAAACGTGAATTTCAGACAAAATATCTTTGTTTTTTAAAGATGGTCAGCTTTTATGAATTCAGCAATTTTTCATAAAATGTTACGTTCCATAACTTTGCCAAAAACAGCAAAACTCTAGCGAAATAACGAAGTTAGTATCAGTGCGCCATGTTCGCGACAAATTTTTTAGCTATTTTTAGGCACTAAATTATAGTCCCAACTAAGTCAGGAAACTCTGCTGAAGACGCCAACTCAATTAGATGCAGTCTCAGACCGTTATTATTTTTTTCTGAGCTAGATTTCATTCCTGGCCCACGATGCAGTGTTGCCCACAAAACAGCTGCGTGATCATGCCATAAGATTGTCAATCTCTCAAATAATTAATAATTATTCAATTTGATGTTTGGCTGAAAAACGGTTTGCTTTCAAATTTTGGGAAGTTGATCAGGACCCGATTTGAAGCCGCTGGAGCGCTGTGGAGTGAAGATTTCAAACTTTGCATCGCTCTAGTGTACACCTGGTCTGCCACCTTTTAGGACTAAGCTATTCAAAAATTCTTCTCCGACCGGGATTGATCCATTTGAATGTTACTCTTTCCGAACTCACTGCTCCGCCAATCTATATTCGTACTACCTTGAAACCCTGCCAATTAACACATCCCCCTCTGTTTCCTCCGTTACAGAACGATGATCCGATACATGTAATCAGCGCCGCGGAGGAACGTCGCTGCGAGAAACCACCCGACTATGACAGCGTAGCAGTGGCGCCTCCCAGCTATGACGACGCCATCAAGCTGGACCCGTCGGCCTTGCTGCAGCACACGACTACGATGGTACCTGCCACCGCTAACTGTTCCTCTACAGTAGCCACTCCAAATGCTACCTCAGCTACAGCCGCCATCACTTCCACCTCCAGTACAAGCTCATCGACATTCAACTTCTCCACCATTCTGGGTCTACCCAGGGAAACCCGAAACGCATCGAGCGCATCGTTGGATGCCGCTGCCACCAGCCGCAGTACCACAGCCACCGTACCCAGTCCAGTGTGCCTGAGCATCGAGCATGAGAAACCACCGCCATACGAGGCCAGCCGCGCCACTACCCATCCGCCGGCCATAGTCGCCGCAATTCCGATTCATATGAACCCAGCGATTATGGTCCCGGGTAGCAATTGAAGTGTTCCGAACACTACAAATGTTGTACACGTGAGAATTTTGCGTGGGTGCGCAAATGTGTGATAGTGTGCGTGCGTGTTAATTCGATATAAGTCCTCAACTGAATCCACTCCACTCCGTTGTCGCGAGTGGAACATACAGTGACCGCAAGGCTGTGCTCAACTTGTAACTGTTCTTTTTTTGATTTGTCGTGTACTTACTACTAGCGTAAGAGAAAATTATAACCTAAGTCACGTACTGGTATGGTTTTTCCTGGTCATGTACCGGAGTAACAATGCTCACACCCCAGTAGGAAAGATAGCGATAGCGCTGCGGGTTCAGTATTAGAAAGATGGAGCCGCTGCCAAAACAAAAAACACGCCAAATGCCAAAACCGTCAAACGTTTACAAAAACAAACGAACCGGTTTTCTGAATTTATTCGTGAAATAAAGAACCCAAATTGAAGTTGAAACTAAGACGCACATGTGTGACTTAATTCAGAACCGATTGCGTGTCGATCGATCTTCAGTGAATCTAATTACATACCCAACTAGCCATTCGCCAATGATTAAGGAGAGCGGTAGGCTGAGAAGCTTTGCTAAGTGTCATGCTTGGATGGGCCCCAAGAAAGAAGGTGAATCGGGCGGCACAAAGATGTTATATATGAACGAGTTGTGTGTATTGTAATTCAATTCCACACAACGATGCCTTTTACTACAGCTAGAAGACAAGTAACGTCAAATTATGCGAATTTAGTTAGGTAAACATGAGTGATAAAAGCGAATATAGAACGATAAATATATATTGTGATGAACTAAATGTAAGATGTTTTAAGATACATATCACAGCTCCCAAGACAGAAAGACCAAATTTTTAGATTTCGGAACATCAAATGACGCAACTTTCTAATTAAAAAACAGATGTTTATTCGAGTATCACAGATTGTAGTGGTATAATGGTATGGAAACGAATGTTCAGCCAAGTGGTACATTGAATTCCGTGCTCAACATCCTGACCAAAAGCCCCACAACTTCGTTTTGACTTGAAAGCTGCTCCCAAGTGGCTACATGAAGTGCCAATTCTGCAGTACCCACCGAATGGCCGATGTTCTCTGGAATCAAACATTATCATAATTAGCTGCTAGCCTCTCCGAAAAACGTTACTCAACCATACCTGTAACCGATTTCCTCACATCCAGCTCGGATTTCCAATTCTCCGAAACGCTAACCAGCGCATCCATCACCTTCCGCAGATTCCACGATCTTCCCAAAACCTCGTCCTTCATAACCACATGCAGTACCTTCAACTGTTCGATCATCGCATCCAAGCTCACCAAAACATCCTCCAAAATGGTGATCAGAATTGCCAGGTTCTTACAGTACAGCTCCAAATTGGCCGGATAAGGATTGCAGTCTTGCTGCTTTGATTCCAGCACGCCTTTCTTGATGTTCTCGATGGCGCCGCAGTACTGGCAGCCCTTCTGGACCGTCAGTTGCCATTTCTTGTGCAGATCTGCAAATTTCACCATGGAATCTGCCACGCGAGATGCTCCGACGGTCGACGATGCGGCTGTTGGTGATGCAGGAGTTCGAGGCGATTGTAAACGGCTCGCTGAGACGTTTTGTCGGTTCGGAGTTGTTGACATGGTTTTTATTATGGGAATGGATGGTACACCTGGGCCAATTGTGTCAGCGCTTTGTTGACAAATGTTGCTAGTGGAAAGAAGTAAAGTGTTACATCGAACATCGAACGATGTGTTATTGTAATGCTTGGTGTTTTCCTTCAGGAAACATTTTTGAGGTCTTATACACTTTGCCTGAAGAATAAAATTCTAATATTTAACAAGTTTTTAGACCGGCCATGCTTTACGCTGTGCCAATATGGTCTAGTTGTTGAACCACTAGGAAGAAAGCACTTCAAAAGATTAAAGAAATAATTCTGACGATGATTGCCTCTCTGATAGTACTACCTCAATTGCAATGATTAATTCCTTTATGCTTAGATAAGATTTAGTTTTAGCTTTAAGATGTCAATTGTTATACTGACGTGCAGGTAGAGAAACCCTGTTTAAAATACTGAATTGCAAAGGTAGGAACAATGTAAAAACATTTAGATATAGGTATATCATAATAATTAAGGCTGGTAAGTTACTGTGATAGATGGTAAAAATGAAATGCAAATTATTTTGAATTTAGAACAAATAGAGTTCAACAAAACATTTTTGAGGGAATAAAATAAATATTATTTGATTCGTTCATATGCATAGTTTCCATGCTGATACTTTTGTTAAGTTTTATAGAATAATTTTAATTGAAAATCAAATTAAATACTGATGACTGATAACATATGCAAATACTAAAAATCTAAAAGTGTGTTTCTCATGCGAACTATGGAACAACAACCTGATTATTAAGGCCCAAGCTTATTGACAGCGGAATCAGAACGACAGCGGCAACGGAAAAGCCCGATCTGAGTAAGCCTACTTGTCGCATTGAAAACTAGTTAGAACCAAATCGACTTCGGTTAGGAATCTTGACGTCATTTGTGACAACTGTTGAACTGTCCGTTTCCGCTTCCGCTTCCGCCCACATTGCGTTTGGGCCTTTACCTAGATAATATTTCAAGAATCAACAGGTTGAATAACTTTCAGATTCACTTGTTGTTTGATTTAAACCCGTCCTCGCGTGGTTTATTGGAATGTTTTCTGCTTTAATTCACTGTCTGTTTAATAAACGATAATTATTTTCAATCTGGTGTACGGATTAAACTGGATCATTTCGAGTTGTCACCAGTTGATTTCCAGTCCAAACGCAAATGCGAAATAAAATTCCTGAGCTATTAATTCGCAGCATTTTAATAAAATGTAAATAGTCGCACATTTTAACACCTATTAGTGCCGTTTGCAAATCTCCAACATATCACAAAACTTTTCACAATTCTAAGCAATGTAACTCACCTTGCTGTTTGTGTATTGCCTTATGTTTACAAAGATTGGATCCAATTAGAAAATATCGCTGCTGTGCAGACCCGGAGTCGGTAAGGTAGAACAAACACACGTGGTCACAGCGAAGAATCAATGCTGCCACCTATCAGTATATGCAGGAAGTTCTACTGCTACTCATCGGTATGCAATGCGCATGTCATCTAGTACTGCAATGATGCTGTTCAAATTGACAGTTGAAAACACAAACTACCGGTTGTAAAAAATGTGATGGGTTTGTGGATTTCTAGATGAACGATTCAAAATGGTACTTCCCGAGCAGGAGAAAATAACTAATGAATACCTAATTCTGATCTGATACCAAAATTTGGTATTGATCAGCATGACATAAGAAGTAAAATACCAAAAAATTACATGCAATACTTTGTAAATACCAAAAATTGATAATTGGATACCAAAAGAATACCTGGGTGGTATTGTTTTGGTATTGCATTATCATAATTTGGTATTGGAATGGTGTTGTGGGAACATTTGTTTGGTATTTTACCTCTTATGTCAGGCTCATCCATACCAGTTTAAGGTATCGAGATATTCGTTCCTGCTCGGGTTAGCCACAAACGCGGGTGGGGGGAATGGGTTGAAAACGGAAACGATAAGTTTGATAGTTCGAAAATGTGGTTTCATAAGGGCCTACTCCCCCAAATTTCGATGTTGAGTATCAGCAAAACAATTTGTTGAAATGGGTTCAGCAAAATTATATTTCTTATATTATATTATATTATATTCTTGAATTCAGCATTAGTATTTTTGGCATTGCCGACCTGCAAAACAGAAAAAAATGTCAGAGTATTGGCTGATAATTAGTAACCGAGCTTCCTGTCTTATTAAATGACAGGTCGGGCAAAACCTGTCAACACTATCTGACTTCCAGTTTAATATTTCATTGCCGTGATTCATGGCACGGTGCGTACTTACGTAGGGGAAAAGTTGGCTTCGGCAATACTTTAACCTATTATCGCCAGGGGGTAAACAAAGTCCTAGAGCACTCAAATTTGGCCAATAGATGCTCTGAAACACAATGTATCCACATGCCAAAATTGAGCTCTCAAGGAAGTTGTTTACCCCTCTGACGATAATAGGTTAAGGTATTGCCGAAGCCAACTTTTCCCTTATTTGATTTATAACTTTAAAAAACAATTGTCCAAAGCAACAGACAGCAAGGATGCCGAGAAATTGATTTTCATGTTGATTTATAGCATGAAACTTATGTTTATGCAGGTGCTCCATCCAGGGCTGGCAAATGTCATTTCAATGAAAGATCTCACGTGATATTTACAGCGATACTTCTGTCACTATCATCGGATGAGCATATGATGATAGAGATTTTCTTCAAAATCTGTGTTCATCGTTATTACTAGCTCATTTATTTCTATTAATGTTGCTAGTTCCGAGGAAATCTTAATAATATATTCACTCTATCAATTACATACGGTTGCTTACTTTAATTCATCTAAATCAGTTAGAATTCTCATGAGTGCTTAATCATTGGAAAATGACAAGAAAGTCAATGATAGGTAGTTTCGTCTCGTGATAGTCATTGTCACATGACGGCTGTGATATTTACCAGCAGGGTGGCCAGACCTACCGATTTATCGGTAGTCCTACCGATTTTCGGGATGCCTACCGATTCACAGACGAAAGGTTAAAAACTACCGATTTTTCACTTTTCTTACCGAGAATCACAGATTTTTAGTAATCTTGACAAATGTTCAATAACTTCCAATGTTTTGTTTTCCGTGTAGTCATAATTAGAAATATTGATTTCGGCACGTTTAATACCATTGACAGACATACAAAGCAGTACCATAGAGGTAACTCCATAGAGGTAACTCTAAGACCACTGCACTATGGGAAGTTCCCATACAAATAGGTGGCCAAAAATATGTCGATCTTTAAAACTGTTTTTGTGTTACCCTTGATGTGTGCGATAGCATTTAATAACTCATAACTCTTCAGTGAAATGGTTAAAATTAGGTTTAGTAGGGTAAAGTACGTCTTCATCAGTATTTATGAAAATATATTTTTTTTCCTTGGATTTGTTTTCCGTCGATCTTGTTTTCCGTGCTGAGCACCAATGCCACCGACGCCAAGGAGCAGCTCCCACACCTGGACCCAAGGGCGTAGCCAGGTTTCGAGCTAGGGAGGGGCGAAAAAAAAAATTACCATGGAAAATTTGGCCACTCGGATCGAGCTTTGTTACAGAGCGAGTTTGTCATGGTAGTCGTAGCAACCGTTTTGTTTGTATCGTTGGTTGCTTTATGTGTTTGAATTCGCTGACCCTTACATAAAAAAAAAACGCTAGAGTACATAATCGACTTATTTGTAATCCATCCGGTGTTTGATGAATGAAAACATAAAATTTTTAATTGGTGCTTTCTCGAGATAGAGCAAGTAAGTGCAGATGCAACCTTTGCTGAAAGTTAGCTCTAGGATTGTACTTTATTCTCTTATGAACAGTTGAGCGAACCAAGGTGGACTTTTTTATTGCGACATGATTTAGTCTTGAAAAATCGTAATTTTTTGGTATTTTTTCATGTGACTATTCAAAAATTTGATCGATTTGTAATGTTGATAACGCCAATGGAAAGCTTAGATTTCAAGCTTTAAAATGGTATGTTTCAATATTTTTACATTACTGTATAGCATATGGGAAACATAAGATGAAAAATACGCTTGATTTCTATGATTTTCCACTTTTTTCAACTTTGGTAGCATGTATCTTCCGTTAGCCACAATATTATGTTGAAATATTTTCAGCTTGTCTTAACTAGAGTATGTACTCTCAATTGGCATATCAATATGTGAAATTAAAAATAGTAAATTTTTATATTAATGGTAACCCTTCTCCCCATAGTGCACTGGGTCCCGAAGAAAATCATTATTATTTTTGGCTCACTCAGTACCAGAACAACGGTCCCAAGCAGTCCCAAGCAGTCCCAAGCTATTTCACTCACCCCTGCATGTTCTGCATGAATCCACACACCCCTGATGTTATCTGTCAAACTTTCATAGCGAATCAAAACAAACATAGTGTAGTAATAGAATTTCAACTAGAATAGGGTACGTTAATCGTTTGCTTGGGACCAATAGGCTACTAAAGTGGTGAGCCAATCTAAAATCGTTAGTTTCGTATTGATTGTTGGTAACTCTAAGACTAGTAGGTCCCGAAGAAACGTGCTCAACTTTTTGGCTTAGCTCTGGTACGCTCTTCGGTCCAAAGTTAATCGATTCACCCCTCGAAACATAGGAAAATCCACGAACCCCTCATTTTATCTGTCAAACTTTCATAGCGAATCAAAACAAACATAGTGTAGTACTAGAATTTCGACTAGAATAGGGTACGTTAATCATTTGCTTGGGACCAATAGGCTAGTCAAGTAGTGAACCAATTTTAAATCGTTAGTTTTGTATTGATTTTTGGCAGTACCGTTGTACCATAGAGGTAACTCTAAGACTAGTAGGTCCCGAAGAAACGTGCTCAACTTTTTTGCTCAGCTCTGGTACTATCTTCGGTCCCAAGCTAATCGATTCGCCTCTCGAAACATAGGAAAATCCACGAACCCCTCATTTTATCTGTCAAACTTTCAAAGCGAATCAAAACAAACATAGTGTAGTACTGAAATTTCGACTAGAATGGGTTACGTTAATCGATTTGCTTGGGACCAATAGGCTAGTCAAGTAGTGAGCCAATTTAAAATCGTTAGTTTCGTATTCATTGTTGATAAGAGTCTGCACTTCCTCTTAGGTTCAAAGCAGAAGAACTGAAGGACAGTGTATTGTTCTGAAGCAGAGTTCCCCCCCCCCCCCGCTCACAAAGGTTTCAAGTTTGGGGAAAGCCTTCTTGAGACGGCCTACCGATAACTACCGATAAAAGTTTTGAGAAGCTACCGATAATGAAAAAAATAATCTGGCCACCCTGTTTACCAGCTCTGGCTCCATCAGTGCTTGTTTTGCAAGCATTTAATGGGGAGACAAGTGCAAAGTTGATTTTCTTGCACATGCGGTATTTTACCCACGGGCCCCACGGATAAAAGAATTACGCCGAAATTGTCTAATTACCTATCAATAACATTATGATTAGCGCTACTACACTTTTGTGCTTTTGTGTGAATGTGATTGAAAAAAAAAGGAAACAAAATAATTTGGCTGCTGGTTCCGAACTATGCAGCTGAAGCTTGCTGAAGAATCAGTAGAAACTGATATAAATAAATTTACTGTTGTTTCAGTAATATTTCGTTGACATTTTCAGGAAAATCAGTTATACGCTGCCATTCCCAAGTAACCACGAAGCCCGCTAATTGCCCGATAAGGGCCCTTTTTGCAATTTAAGATTAATATAGGGCTTAAAGCAGTTCGTTGTGGCTGCCGCCCATGGAATGTCCTTGAACCAGAGTCGCAAAATGTCACGATTATCACGAGACCGTACGTAGCCAAAGGAAAAGACCAAAGCATAATTAAACGAATCTCACCGATGACACTCACCACACCCAACCCCGACTGGCTTGTGGAGCTATCTGAAAATCCTTCGAAAGAGTGACGTTCATATCTGACATTCGGAACCTGAGTGTCGACTGAGTGACTAGATCTGGAGAACTTTGAGATTTGGACGTATTTACTTTTGTAACAAAACACGCCAATCACCGATTTCTCCCAAAGAAAATCTCAACCTCGAAAGCATACACCACAATCAGGTAGAGGAATGATTCCTATATCATTTGGTACTGTCTCCTTGCTAGATCGAGCTTTTATTTGTTCGAAAACGGTGATTCGCGTGATTGGTTACAAAATCAAATACGTCCAAATCACAAAATTCTTCAGATTTATTGACACAAAAACTAACCAATTTTCAAAATTATCCGGATAGAAATGAATAATATAATTATCCGGATAGACCAATCCAGTGGATAAAAATAAACGGAGTCTATCAACATGCACATATTTTTCCCTCCGGATACTATCCAAGTAAAATAATATCCGGATAATTTTAACTTAGATATTATCCATTATTTTTCT